AAAACCTGGGATCCCTGCTGCAAACTGCCCTGAACTGTGCAAATAAACCCACAAAAACCTGGGATCCCTGCTGCAAACTGCCCTGCTGAGGAAAGAAACCCACTGGGGTTTCTGCACCTTTGCTTTCAGTTCTCTTGAGCATTTCCTTCTCTAGCCCATCTCCAGCCCGTATCCAGCAGGTGTTTCCATGGCAACGCCGTGTAAAGCCATCCTTTCCCTCTGACATGGGAGAAAATGTTGAATGGCTGAACAGAATTGGCTTGGGAAAACCTGGGACTTCGACTAAAAATAGGCAAGGCAATAATGGGAGGTGATGGTGGAAAAGCTGCCCAGGGGCTTCAGACCCCTCCTGGGGGTCTGGGTACAGCTGAAGGCAATTTGTTGTTTCTCTTTGATGAGAAGAAAGAAAGGTTTTTGTTTTCTTGTAAGATGTGGAGCAGCCCTGGCAGTGTTGGCCCTTCATTCAAGTCCCCTCTTAGCAGGAATTCTCCTAATTCCATTTTATCCCATAGAAATGATTGTGAGGGACCCAGAGGGCCAGGAAGGAGCAGCAGAGCCCCAGACTCTGCCCTAAGGAATGGCTTTGCTTGAAAGCCTATAACTCTTCCAGTAAATCAGTGTAATTTGTGCTCTGATGTCCTGCACGGCTTTACAACAAGTGACAAATCAATCATTATCCAAACATCCTTTGATAATCAGTGTGGTTCCATTAATTATGATAAATGCTTTCAGCAGCTGCAGTATGTGGACCTAATGCATAATTGCTTGGGAATCATATTACCCTACTTTTCTCTTCACTTCATCAAGTACAAAGTCTCTCCAAAAACTGCCACACTCCAGCAGCTGAAGGCAGAGTTTACACAATCCACTCTTGCAAGGGTTTAATTGGAGCAAATGCAGAGTCCATTAGTATTACTGTTGTTAAATATTAAGTAATATTCCTTGAAAAGGGCCCATTACAGCTTTACAAATTACAAATATACAGGAGGACTCCATCAGTCTCCTGACCCAGGGGATTAATTGGAGCAGTTGTTGCACAGCAACACGGTGCAGGAGATTAGGACCTCACCTAATGAGCAGCACTGCATCCAATTGGAATTGCAAGGGAATTTAGCCTGGCAGAACTGCAATTACTGGATTCTGAACCCGATTGGATCAAAGCCTGGCCCTGTTCTTCAAAAAGTGCACCTTTAAGGAGCGGGAAAAGAGGTGAGAAAGGGCAATTCCCACTGGGCTTAAAGACACGAGAGGGGAAGGGGCTGAGAGGCCTCGAATCAAAGGGACAAATTCAACAAACAGGTCGCTGGATGCACCTTCACATGATTAAACCCCAGGGATTTGGGGCCACAACACATCCCTGGGAGCAGGAGTTCAGCTGCCTTTTCAGAAAGAACCAACATTTCTATCAAAACCCAGGACTTATCGTCAAAATAACACAACACGAATTTAGAAAAAGTTATAATTCTTTTCAATTCAGAGAGAAATGCCCTCGGTGGCAGGTTTTTCCCTTGTTCAGGGTCTTTTTTTTTTCCCCATTTGTCACTGGGAGTGACAGGATGCTGAATTGGGTGGATTTTTGAAGCTGCTGCTCACGAGAGCACCTGTGCTTTTATTCCCTTTCATCCCGGTGATCTCAAGGAGTCAGACCTTGGGTTTACATCCATCATCAGGGAGCTTTAAGGGAGTTTTCCAGGGTATTTGGGTAAAGCAGAACAGCTCCATTAAATCGTGAGGGGAACCAAAAGCCCGTGTTTCGGCACTTCCTTCAACATCTGTGTTATTCCTGCTGGGAAAAGTATGTTAAGATCGGTTTTAGGAGGGGAAAAAAACTTAGTTGTTTGAAAAGTTTAAAGAAAAATGGGCGTGGAATAAATATTTGGATAGATCAAAGCAGCACAGGGAGGGGGCAGGAGCAGCTCCTGGGGGTTCCTCATCCGGCAGGGACAGGGAAGCAAAGATGAGGGAACAGCTGGACCAGAGCCTGGAAATTTTAGCAGCATGGGAAATCTTAGGGAAAAAAATGTGCAGGAAGGCTGGAATGAAGGGTTCAGCTGAATTGCAGCCTGGCCTTCCCAAAAGAATCAGGATAATCAGGATCCAGACCCCGAAGCAGCCAGGTCTGAGCAGGAGCCTCAAGGAAAGTCCTGTGGTGCTCAGTCCAACTGGGAGTGCAGTTGCCCTGGGAGGAAGGACAACAATTGTCACCAAAAAGCAATATTTAAAGCGTAAAGATTAGCAGAAATTCTGCTTGGAGGACTCCTTAAAGTGGATTTTCCCCCGCAGAATTTGACTTTTTAAGACGGAATTTTCATAAAAATAATGAGGGCCGTATAAATTCTGAGTCTGAACATCCTGTTCCCGGTGCTCTGCACTTCCAGACATCCCTTTTACAGGTAAAGGGATCCTCCTGTTTGGATGCACACAGGAGAAGATTTTGCAGAGGGATTTAAATAAAAACTAATATTTTTATTTTCAGAAAAAAAAACCCACTTCAGAATAAAGGAGACAGAGTAGACACAAACCTTTAGGTTTTAACCAGAGCCTTTCCTTTTCTCATATACACGAATTCTCCTGAGGAATCTGTGTCCTCAGATCCTCAGGGATCCACGCTGGTGTGTCCCCACCTGTCCCTTTCCTGCTTTCAGGGATGTGCATCAGCCCAGTTCCAAGAGTTGTATTGCTTTTTAGCAAAGAGGGGTTTAACTCTGTATTTTCATCAATTTTCCCTAAACCTTTCGGCATTTAATGATCTGAAAATAAACCCTCTTTTGTATTTGGTGTGGTTTCGGAGTCTAATTTAGAAATGGTTTGAGAAGAGCTTTTTTTCCTCCTTTTTAGCCTTTATATCAGTCATTTCATCTGATATATGATAAGCTCAGATGAGTTTAAACTGATTCATCCTATTTTGTAATGTTTAAATGTACTTTGCTGGAGCTCCATCATAATGTCACACACTTTTAAAATGAATAATTCATCCTGCCCACCTTTTCTGAAATGCCAAAAGGATACTGAGCCTTACCAGAGAGAAGCAAATACCTTTACTTTCAAAGTACACAAGGAAACAATATAATTTAAGAGCAAATACCAAGTCCAGCTGCACCACTGCAGATCTCAATACTGTTGATCTCACCTGGGAGAACAAGTTGGAGCCCTGAAGGGAGGAAAGAGGTGCTTTTCCAGGGAAGGGACAGCTCTGCCTTAGGCACTGATGGCTCTGGGCTTCCTAAGGGGAATCAAGAACTATCTGGGAATCAGTGACAGGCACAGATAAGAGTCTGGGAGCAAAGGCCTGTCAAGGAGCTGTGTGAGGAAGGACATTGATTTTCTCCCCGTGCTGGCACTGGCTCAGGGAGAGCTTTGGCAGTTCTATATTTAGCTGCTGGATTAGGTACCTCACTAATAGCCAGGTAGAGCTTTGTCAGTTCTGAGCCCAGCAGGGATCAGGTTGAGGCTGTGGAAGGAACGTGTGTGAAACCGCCGTGTGCCGACCGGAATAAAACACAGGGATGGGGAAAGGAACCTGGAGAACTTCAAATAACAGGCAGCAGAGCCTCCCCTAGATGTAGAGCACCACGATTTCCTGTGGCCACGCTGCAAGGGCCCACTCTGACCTGGTGACATCAACCTCCCACCCCAGGGCAGGGGGCAGGTGGTCCATGGGATGTTCGTCACTCCCAGAAACAGCACTGAGCTCCCTGGGAACAACATTGGGAATTCCCCAGCCACAGGGATGGAGGAAGATGAAGGGAGCAGAAACCTCACCCCATGTCTTTGGAGAAAGAGGGCGTGCTAGGAAAAGGGGCACAAAGATGATTGGAGTGATGGAGAGACTTTCCTCCTATGAGGAAAGGCCAGGAGGGTTGGGATTGTTCAGCCTGGAGGAGAGAAGGCTCTGGGGTGACATCAGAGCCCCTTCCAGTGCCTAAAGGGACTCCAAAAGAGCTGGAGAGGGATTTTGGACACGGGCCTGGAGCAACAGGACAAAGGGGGATGGCTTCACATGGACAAGGGCAGGGTTAGATGGGATATTGGGAAGGAATTCTTCCCTGTGAGGGTGGGGAGGCCCTGGCACAGGTTGCCCAGAGAAGCTGTGGCTGGCCCTGGATCCCTGGAAGTGTCCAAGGCCAGGTTGGACAGGGCTTGGAGCAACCTGGGATAGAGGAAGGTGTCCCTGCCCATGGCAGGGGGTGGGATGAGATGAACTTCAAAGTCCCTTCCAACCAAACTGTGATTCACTGATAAGAAATGGGGCTCCCAAGCCCACATTCCCTTGGGTTACACATTTTACCTTAATTCCAGAGCAGAAAGAAGCATCTCACTCATGCACCCCTGGCTGGAGTCACTGCAGGACTGACCCTGCTTTGCTCTCAGCCCTTCGTGTGCCCGGCAGGAATTTTCTGCAAATGTCAAACAAATCCCTTTGCCCCAGGGCAGCTCCGAGGGAAAGGCAGGAGGCTGCACTGCTGCCAGGGCAGAGGAGTGAGCAGGGCCATGTGCCAGCACTGCCTGGCCTCCAGAACCCCCCTGTGCCTCATCCCTCACATTTCCAGCCCCTCAACACCCACAAACCCATCGTTACCCAGCCCCGGTATCCGAGCACCTAAATCTTAATTTGTGTTTCATAAATATTTGACACCAGGGTATTTTTACTGAATCACGGAGAAGGCAGGAGATGAACTCTCCACTGGAGATACTAAAGGCATCTGATCACTTCTGCTGAGCATTTGCAGCACTACTGGGTGTTATCACTCACCACTTCAGACGCTGCCAGCAAGAGCAAGGCAAGGACAGACCTGTATTACACAGCCTTGCTTTTGTGGAGACAAGGCTTTCAGCAAGCCCAGATCACCTCTCCAAACTTAGGAAAAAGCCTCTCCAAACACCTTATGAAACTGGAATAAATAAAAATTAGAGCAAACTAAAGAAACCTATAAAACTCAGGAGTCATTTTCCATCAAGGGCCCCAATGCTGCTCATCAAACATTGAAGAGCAGTCTGGGAATATCTGAAAAAATGACCTCATTGTCATTCTTCAAATCTTCCCTTCAAGCCTCAGAGCCCAGAGATTCTTGTGAAAGTACATGAGATGAGCCTGGAGTCCTGTGGCCACAGGTTTGCACTTTCCCCAGCAGTTTTTCACTCCCAACTCTCTTGTTTTATATGGTTGAAATGCAGAACAAATGATTGGCAGAACCCCTGGACATTCACCCTGGCTCTTTCTAATGTGACTTGTGCAGGGAAAGGGAACAATGAGATGATTGGTTTTAGTATCAGTTGCAAATCTCCCAGAGT